GCCAGCAAGTGAACAGAACTAAGGAAATGGAAATGAACTAAGGAAATTAATTTCCAACATTAACTTTAATGGTCAGAATGTGGGAAAGGATTTAACAAATGGATTGGAAGAGTTAAGTTTAGAAGTTACAAAGACATGGGTGAAGGTTTCAAGAACAGGCAAGCCAAGACTAAACTGGGGAATGTTACCGAAGTGGAAATTGGTGGTCTTGGTAACAGCACAAAAACTGTGAATTTCTCTGGGTCAAATACAAAACCAAGGTTGCAAACAGTCTGCTTCAGCCCAAGATATCTGGTGGGGTGGTGGAGAATGTAGTTAGGAGGTAGGGAGTACTCACTAATCAAGCATCACTTAAATACTACTGCAGCAACGGGTCATCCTTTACAGAAGGAGAAACGAGAGAACCAACAAACTGCATATTTCTGTTAATGCCTCAGAATGAATGATTTTCCTGATAAGGAACAAACTGTTTTTCTTTAAGTGTGGATTGCGATAAACTTAAGCCCAAAGTCACTGTTTCCTGGGGTGCTTGTTTGGGCTGGAAATAGTGTAGATGAAATGGAGGCTGAATGACCATTTTGCAGAATATCCCCTTTCAGTCTAAAAAGCATGACCGAGCTTTCCTGTTACTTGTCATTTAAATTCTCCAGGTCAGGGGGCAGCGCTATCCTGCCTTGGTTTTAATAAAAAAGTATTCAATCTACACTTCTATTGATTCCACTGTTTAACTTTGTTAGTCTTCTACATCTACAATTAAGTTCTTCATTTTGTCTGCCAACGACATTTTTTTCAGTGCATTTGAAGATGGGTCAAGAAATGTAAAGTCTCACTCTGATTTAAGGTGAAGGGGATCAATGTTTAATAATGTCAAACTGGATTTATACATTAATTATACAGAATTTTTTCATTACCCTGTTTTTGTTACATGTTAATTCATAGACTGTTCTATAATTATGAACTTCACAGATTTGAAAATGACAATCAATATAGTTCAATTTCACAGGTTGAGATACTCATGACTTCAATACAAATCTGTACACACAGCTCTGTAAGATTGCTAAGGAAGACTTATCTTCCTCTACTATGAAAGGAATATAGAAAAGAAGGCAAAAGAGGGGAAGAGCACTTGTGATTGGGTAGTTAGAGGAACAGACAGGTGTTTCTGTGACTGTAAACATTATTCCAGAATTATATATTGCCTTCCCAGCACCAGGGTCACAGAGCAGCTGTAGGACTGACAGCATGGTCACTGTTGCTACTAGTGACTTAGGTAGGAAGGGGTCTGAGGTCCTAAAAGCAGATTTCAGAGATCCAGAAAAGAGAGTGAAAAGCAGGACCTCTAAAGTAGTAACGGCAGGATTACTTAAAATTATATATGCTTATAAACATCAGAATAGGAGTGTTGAGCAATTGAACTTGGGGGAAATTAGCTCAAATGGTAGAGCGCTTGCTTAGTGTGTGAGAGGTAGTGGGATCGATGCCCACATTTTCCACTTTGGGGCAACACGGTGGCTGAATGGTTAGCATTGCTGCCTCACAGCGCCAGGGACCCATGTTCGAATCCACCCTCAGGTGACTGTCTGTGTGGAGTTTGCACATTCTCCCAGTGTCTGCGTGGGTTTCCTCCAGATGTCCAGTTTCCTCCTACAGTCCAAAGATGTGCAGGCTGGGTGGATAAGCCGTGCTAAATTGCCTATAGTGTTGAAGGATGTGTAGATTAGGTGGGCTATAAAGGGATGGGTCTGGGGGGGATGCTCTGAGGGTTGATGTGGACTTGTTGGGCTGAAGGGCCTGTTTCCACGCTGTAGGGATTCTGATTCTATGAAGTGCCTATTCAGCCCAAGATGTTTGTGCCAGTGTTAGCACAGTCCTTGGAACCCTTAACTCTAAGTCTACCTGTACACGAGTCCCTTACTATTTTTGGCTAAACCAGCTAATTTTGTAAAATATTCCTTGTCCTGATAACTGAAGCAACTTCTAATCCTGACTACTGGCCTCATAAAGAAATGTGACAACAATGGAAAGCAAGAGAAATGGTGAAAATGACAGAAAGAGAGAGAGAAAGAGAGAGAGAAAGAGAGAGAGAAAGAGAGAGAGAAAGAGAGAGAGAAAGAGAGAGAGAAAGAGAGAGAGAAAGAGAGAGAGAAAGAGAGAGAGAGAGAAAGAGAGAGAGAGAGAAAGAGAGAGAGAGA